AATGTGATAGTGTGATGTGCATGGCTTTTAAATAAATATTCACGAGAAATGGTTTTCTGGTCCTCTGCTCTGGATCGTCCTATTTGTGATTTGTGCGTATAAAATGCTGCTATGGTAAAGCTACGAGACTTTTGCTTCACTTAAAACTTGGGGGTTCATTCAAGCCTTCCTAAAATATAACCAGAAAGAAGGTGGCACTCCAAGCTGCTCTTGGATCAGCTGGAAAATGCAGGCCTAAATAGGTAAAAGTCCCTTCTGAATGTTTCCTTTTTTCTTTTGAAAATCAGGGTTGACCCTTTCTCAAAGAAGGACTGGTATGATGTCAAGGCTCCAGCAATGTTCAATATTCGAAACATTGGAAAGACATTGGTTACCAGGACTCAGGGAACAAGTAAGTTACCAAAATAAGAAATGCTGGCTTTTAAGTCATGCTATATTTCTGAAAGCCTTAAACACTAATCAAATACCATTTTTATTACTGTTTTAAACATTGTGTTTTGTTTACACACTTTACTGTATATTCCTATACTTATTGAATTTATATGCTGCCTTTTTCACTTTATAAAGCAATTCTTGGTGGCTTACAATTATATGTTGCAATTGTAATTATTTTGAATGCAGAGGATCATTTGAAATACATCTTAGAAAGTGATATATAGCTCAGTGGTGTATTTTTATAAACAAGCTAACTGTAATATTTATAGAAATCGCCTCTGATGGACTGAAAGGCCGTGTATTTGAAGTAAGCCTTGCTGACCTACAGAATGACGAAGTTGCCTTCCGTAAATTCAAGCTGATTACCGAGGATGTCCAGGGGAAAAATTGCCTCACAAACTTTCATGGCATGGATCTCACACGGGATAAAATGTGTTCAATGGTTAAGAAATGGCAGGTTAGTATAAATATTGGTATGTACTTAAGCTGAACAGTGAAAACTGGAATTATGTTGTTGTTGATGGAGGCAAGTAAATTACAATTGTCAGATGATGATTGTTCATCAGCTATTTTTCATATATCATCAGATCCAGTATTTTAAAAAGTTTCCAAAAATCTTGCTTAGTTCTTCTCTGTATTCTGGTATACATGTGAATGCTTCCTAAGCGTACTTTGCAAGAATTCCTCTGAACCATGGTTATCTTGTATAAATGCTTTAAAAGTAGGCAGTCTCATCCAGACAGTAATTTGATGTGTTAAAATATCTGTAACTCTTACAATGTTCCAGACTATGATTGAAGCCCACATCGATGTCAAAACGACAGATGGGTATCTTCTACGCCTTTTCTGTGTTGGCTTCACCAAGAAAAGAACCAACCAGATTCGCAAGACTTCCTATGCTCAGCACCAACAGGTCCGCCAAATCCGCAAAAAAATGGTGGAAATCATGACACGTGAAGTCCAAACAAATGACTTGAAAGAAGTTGTCAATAAACTGTAGGTGGATTTTTTTAAAACTATGTTTAGTAAGACGGTTTTCAATGCCATGCTACTTTAGAATTTGTACAGGTAGTCCTCGACTTAACAAATTAATTTACTGATCATTCAAAGATACAATGGCACTGAAAAAACAACTTATGACCGTTTTTCACACTTACGACCATTGCAGCATTCATTTAGGTAATACGATCAAAATTCAGATGGTTGGCAACTGACTCATATTTATGACAGTTACTATGTCCAGGCGTAATGTCATCACATTTTGTGACTTCCTGACAAGCAACGTCATTGGGCAACGTCATCCGGTTTGGATTCACATAATAATCTTGTTACTAATTTGACAACAGCAAAGATTCACAAGAATAATCATAAAATGGGGGAAAGCCCACCTAACAAATGTCTCGCTTAACAATAGAAATTTTGGCTCTGTTGTGGTTGTAAGAAGAGGACTACCTGTAATAACTTGTTTTTTTGTATTCACCATTTAATTATATTTTTTAAAGTGTTTTTAGATTCTGTAACGTTTTGCGTAATTGTGTCCCTTTTAAAGAACTGAAAATATATATTATTTCTGGAGATAATTCATAAGATTAGATATGGGTAAACTTAGTGGGTTCTCTCTAAGGCAATGATTTAATTAAATAAGTAAATTGGTTTCAATGCCACAACATTCTAATCCAAGACCAAATAAATTATCTTATGGTGTAATACAGGGGTCCCCAAACATGTCAACTTTAAGACTTGTGGACTTCAGCTCCCAGGCTGGAGAATTATTGGAGTTGATGTCCACAAGTCTTAAAAGTTAACAAGTTTGGAGACCTCTGGTGTAATAAGATGTGCACATTTTTTCTTAATATTTTATTCAGCCACACACAGAATGAAACCATTCTCATTGCCTTGCTTCTCGCTGGGGTAATACATAATCTGGTTTTTTTGCTTTATATGAATGTTGTGTGGACATAGTTTGTTTATTGAAATTGTGCATAAACATTGAAGTTTCTTTGTGAATGCCACAGTCACTAGTAATTCTGCTGGTTTTTAATCTAATTTTTAGTTTGGAGACTTCAAAATGAAATATTTCATTATGATTGTAGGATTCCAGACAGCATTGGTAAAGACATAGAAAAGGCATGTCAATCAATCTACCCCCTTCATGATGTCTATGTTCGCAAAGTCAAAATGCTCAAGAAGCCCAAGTTTGAATGTAAGTATCTGTCATTGAAAATACTGTGTATATTTATTTGAAATGGGGATGAATGATGACACTTTGTTTCGGTCCCAAATGAAGAAATGATTACTTTATCCTAACGCTGACATTCCCATAAAACACAAGGATATTTACTAGTTTTTGTAAGGTGTATAATTAATAAGTGAATATTTTAATACAAAATAAAGCACCATTCTTTTAAAATGTAATTTTCAAATATATTAATTTAGATCTTTAATTATTTCTAGTGGGCAAATTGATGGAACTGCACGGTGAAGGTGGTGGTGCTGGAAAACCATCTGGTGATGAAACCGGTGCCAAAGTAGAACGAGCTGATGGATATGAGCCCCCTGTACAAGAATCTGTTTAAAAATCAGATACAAAATAAAAGACTTAATATAAATAGTGTGGTAATGTGCATTTTTATGGAATAGTTACTCATATTTTGCATTCATGCTACAATTTTGCAAAGCTACTTCGGCTACCAATTGATCCACTGATGAAACTAGAATTGGTGAAGATTTATATTTTATTTCACACAAGTGTTACAATTTGGGTAATGATGAATAACATTCTGTAACATTGTAAAAAGCACACATTCAAGCTACTTCCTATTTTGTTTCTTTTTTAAAAAAAAGATCCAGGTAATATTGCACCAACGCTAAATATTTGTAAAGATAATCTGCATATAATTTATTATGACTTTTAGTTATTAGAGAGTTGTAATTGTGACGAGGCCCCATCTAGTCATGTGAAAGTAAATTTCTATGCCATCCATTTCACTAATAAAGCAATTATTGAGTAGCTTGCAATTAAAAAGTTAAAAAGTGTAAAAAAAATAGAAAAAAGGATTAATAAACTAAATGATGGGCAGCCTTGGGGGTGACTCTTCTTCCTTGTCAGCTGCCCCCAATATAGCAGGGCCCCTGGCCAAGCAGCGGAGCCAAATTTTCAGACTTCTGGAAGTCCATTTATGGAGGCAGATCTCACCTCTGATGGGAGAATATTCCATAGTATAGGGGACACAGTTTACAAGCTATAGTGCAAGCACATCCCTCCCCATTTTAAATGAGGATTTAAATCTATCAGAACTCAAAGAGAAGTGTCTGTTCTTATTCCAAAAGAAGTATTAAACTGGTAATATGGAGAAGGGAGATGAAATATTCTAGAAGAGTATTGAGATTTTTTATTATTGTATCGTGAGGATCTAGCTTGTAATTAACAGGTTTCAAAAACATTTTCAAGGTAAATTTAAAAAAAAACGGTAAACAAATTTCAGTGGGTTTATTTTACACTATATTCAAATAATGTCTTTAGCCTCATACAGATGAGAAATGGAGAATTTCCATTTAACTGACAGCTTTTAAAATCACAACCTTAATTACTGCATTTATCCTTTTTCTGAAAGTTCAAGACCTCATCCGTAATACTTCCAGTTAAGTATTACCCTCCCAAAAACTGCTATGTTGGGTTTAAGAGAGGCCATGAATCCGAAGTTGACCAGCAAGCTTCATAAGTAGAGAAAGGCGAATCCAGCACACAAGCAATACTGTGTGCTACCTGGGTGCCATTAATCTGTCAGCTACTTGTTCTGAGCTTTGATTCCCAATCACTTCAAGACTTAGAGAATGTGTAAAATTTAAACGCATTAAATCAAATGGAAGAAAATTTCCTTTAATTGTGAAGTTTTTAAAAGCTGCAATAATTAATGATAAATTTCATTCCAGTTTGCACTGTTCATTGTTTGCAACAAACACATTTATTGGTTATGTATACAAATATGCCACAAAGCCGAAGAACAACATTTTAATTAATACTAATTTCCTGAAGCAAAAGTATTTTTATAGATTTCAGGCATGATATTCTTCCGATTAAAATCGGAATTCCGATTTTTTTGGGAATCGCCCCCTCCTTTCCCCCCACCCCTTCTTCTCCTTCCCCTCCCCTCGGAGGCCCCGAGTCAGGAGTTGCTGCCGCGGCTCCGTGCGGCTCCAGTCCCGCGTTGCCTCAGGAAGGGAAAGGCAAAAAGGAAGAGCCGCGGCGGCGCTTTGCAACGGCAGCAGCAGCTCCTGGTTTTGCCTTTCCCTTCCCGAGGCAACGGACTGGAGCCGCGTGGAGCTGCGCCGGCGGTAGCAACTCCTGACAGCCCCAGCCGGATACCTGAGCGGAGCCCGGGCGGTGCGAGCGGAGGCCGCTGAGCGGCAGGAAAAGGGAGCTGGGCCAGCCACAGACCAGCCTCCGTGCAACACGCCGCCGCCTGGCCCCGGCGAGGGAAAGCAGCGGGCGCTCCCCGGGCGCGCGGCAGGGGGTCTCTTTTGTCTGGCCCCGATTTTTTTTCCAGAGCGGAATATCATGCCTGAGATTTGTGTAATCTTTGAACAAAATTCATTAAACTGATGTGGAGATTAAATAGCTACTATAATATCCTGGTTCACACTTATATACTGTATATACATATTGTAGTATTTGTATCTTCAGCTAACTGCTGTACTTACATTCATTTGAGAATCTTATAGCATGTGATCTATAATACTTTATGGCCTCAATCTAGAAACTGATGCCAGTTATTTAAATGGGAATGTCATTAGTATTTATCTACGTTACTAACACTATTAAAAGCCCTTTAGATGGCACTCTTCAAGTGAAATAACTGTATTTGGCAATCTGAATACATAGATTAGTAAAATAACAAAGCTTGCTCAGGTGAATGCTTACTTTAAACAATGATAAATATAAAAGCCATATTTACTACTAATGTAGAAATTAGTGCATTTTCATTAGTAACAAAACCATTTTTCAGTCACTGGAAAATTACATGTTGAGAATGAATATGGAAAAATACAAAATCTGAAAATATATGAGTAAGAAAAATTATAAAAGTCATTTTAACAAGCATTGCATTCAGTCTGGTACACAGTGGTTTTCAGTTAGCACTTGAAATGACCCTCAAAAGCCTAAATACTGCAGCTGACATACAACAAAAAAGGTCCATTGTTCCTAAAAAATACAGCAAAATATGAGATGGCAACAAAGGTTGTTGTTGTGAATAATCGGTTTTGCCTTCAACTAAGCAATTTCACATTGCTGTACTTGATGGTAATAATACTATTTTCATGTACTTCAGCTCTTACATCTTAATGGAAAGCTGAATTTTAACTATTTTTATATCATGGAAGTATTTTATTCTTAAAGTAAGACCACAACTAGGGAACAAGATAACATTCAAAGTTAATTACCTGAAAAGGTGTGTATTTTCCTCCAGTTTTTAAATTGTGAACAGAAAGCATGTATAAAGGAAGCTTTAAGAAATTAAAATAGGAAACTACAATTTTATGAATAAGCAACACACTGATTGAATCAAAAGCAAAATTTCCATTGCTTTTGTCCTCTAAAATAAAATTCGATTTGCACAATATGCCAAACCTCAAACCAAAGTGTAGTTTGGTTTTAAAATCTGACCGTAATTAAATGCATGGGTGGATTGTGGTCAAAGCATTCCTTGCAAGCCAGAAATAACTGCAGCAGCCCTGCTTATCAGAATGAGAGGCTGGCTTCTGAATTACAGCCTGCTATGTATTTTATGGCTTAGCAGCTAACTATTAATTCTGGAAAATAAGAGTGTAGGAGGTCTGCAAAGAGAAGCTGTTCCTGCATGCTTCCCCACCTTACTATCAAAAGGGCATAGTTCGGAGGAAAAACAGGGCCCGGTGAAAGAATTTCTGTTTTTTTCATCCTTTGGGATTAGGTTTATTCACAAGATTGTTTTGCTTCATTATTTATTCTTGTTAGCTGTGCTTTACGCACAAAAGTAAGGTTTCCAACAATTATAGCCAAGGCTGTGACAGTGGTGTGTGCTTTAAGTACTATCTCACCCCTCCATAAAGGCCACGCAGTGAAAAGTCAAAATGCAATATTGGTATTGAGCAAGAAAATGGATTTGGTGTGCTTTTTTACTCAGTCTTGAGAAATAGGAGGATCGATGTTTTAGGTCTTTCACCACTATCAGATTTATAAACATATAATATTAATTCCTGGTAAAACTGACAGGAAATCAGAGCATTTTTATAGAATGTAATCTTAAGAAATATAGGGCAAAAACCGGACTTAAAAGTTTTAATTTTAAGATTCATTTTTTACCTTAAATTACATTTATAAAGTTGGAGATTGAGGAGATGGAGATAACAAGACAATACAGGCTGTAGTACAAGTTTATAATAATATCTATTCTTATGAGATAGTCATGGCAGCAAGACCCGTGAAAATTATTCTTCCATCACTTATCATAGATAGTTTTCTGAACACACTTAATTTCTAACAGTAGATTAGATAAGAATAAGGCAATAGGGAACATTACAGAATTTGAAAGATCCAAAATGATATCAGACTTTAAAAAGGAGGATGAATCTTTGAAAAGTCACTTTAGATAAATTAAGATTATGATACAGCACAGTACATTGGTTGTAAAAACTAAGAAATCTCTATGTGTGTAATTTTATTTACTGAAAGTACTAAGAAAAGTTACCAGCCTTTCTTATCATAAAACATATGCAATTATTATTCATTAGGATTGCGCAGTGTTAAAGCGTGTGCATGTATAGTATGAGGCTTGCAAAAATGTGGATACTTAATCAAAGCAGGCATTTTATATCTGTTCAACATTGCAATGTCTTCTTCAATTGCTTTGCCCAGCCTTACTGTATATATATCTTGCATTTATCCATTAAAAAAGATCAGGCAACAAATGTTGGGATTCAGCACCGTTTGAAAGATCCTGGAGAGCTATTAGTAACTAGGATAGAAAACTGGATCAAACAGACATAATGGTCTTCCTAGTCTAAGGCACGTAAATCCAATATCATCCAATTGTTTCAGGATACTTCAATCCAGACTAAAAGTAATTGATGCATTTTTAAACAACTTAACTTACTTGGTTTAAGTAAAGAAAACACCTTTTCTTTTACCGTGACAATCTTATTTATGTATCAGGGTTTAATGTTTTCATATGGTAAACATTTCGGTTTCTGAAAACTTGAGTAGCAAACTATAGCGTGGGATATGTATTGTTAAAAAAAAAAAACCTATTTGAGCAGTGTTTAATTAATTGGATGTCACACAAAGAATAAAAAGTAAAGGTAAAGGTTTCCCCTATCCAGTTGTTTCCAACTGTAGGTGGCTGTGCTCATATCTGTTTCTAAGCCAAGGAAGCCAGTGTTGTCTGAAGACATTCCCATAGTCATGTGGCCAGCATGACTATATGCTGAGGCACACAGAACACTGTTACCTTCCCATTGAAGTGGTACCTATTTATCTATTCACATTTGCATGGTTTCAAACTGCTACGTGGGCAGGAGCTGGAGAAGGTGACAGAAGTTCATTCTGTTGCATGGCACTCGGGTCTCAAACCCGGGTTGTCAGGTTTCCAGCTGACAAGCTCAGCATCTTTAATTCTGAGCCATTGCACCCCCACAGAAAGAATATAAAATGCACCAAGTTTAAATAATAAGGCTTTGTATTCCTCTTTTTTTTTTTAAAAAAAAAAAACCTTCTGCCCAGGGACTGCTCAGTATAAACTAAAAACAAAATATTGTACAGTCTAGTAAACATTTTACAAAAATAGTGCAAAAATGCATTTGATAGTCTAGATAAAATGATCACAGATAGCAGTCTTTCTCCACTGCACAGAATATAACGTGCTTTTCTTCCAGCGTATTCACTTGCAAAACAATGCTCCAGAATTGGATTTCACCTTAGGAAAGATGTAGAATTTGGACAAAATTCCTTGGAAATATTCCAAATTTGTCTTGTAATTCTCCACTCATCCATTCTTCATCTACAGATTGTACACTTGTTATGATATCACCAACCTGTTGAACCAAAAATTGCAACCAATATTATTTGTTTTTTATAATATTCTTCACACATGCAACTCTTAAAACTGTAGACTCTTTCTTCTCCCAAGTGATACTTTGTTGATTTTTAAATTAGTTTTATATCAGATCAAAAGAACTGATAAGAAAACAGTGTTTTATGCTAGAAAACAAAAGGCTTTAATATGTCAAAAGAAAAAAGATTCAAAGTAGGCCTTATATTCTTTGGGATAGCTAGAAGCTTTGCAGTTAGATAATTTCTTAGGGAAAAATAAATTAAGTGGCTAAGTTTCACTAAAGTATTTTTTTATGGATTATAATAATATAATAGAATATCAGCCCACTTTTCAGTTGCATTCAGTTCATTACAGAAACAGTGTAAACTGTGTTCCGGCTGTTTCATACGTCACACTAAAATCAAGATAATCTTAAATCCAACAGTGGATTTGTGTATAGGTTGTTCAACTCTTCTTTCAAACACAATTTTTTGCAGTATAAAAAAGAAGAAACTTACTATCAACCCATAATAAACAATTTCCCTAATTTTTATGCTGCAGGAGAAATTCAGGATGGTATTTTTCACAATGATAAAATAGAATGTTTTTATCACTGCAGAATTGTATGTTTAAATATGCTTACTTTGAAAGAAAGTTCATCTATGTTCTCTGCATGAAAATCATACAGGGCCTTTGCTTTGGGTTTCCTCCTTCCCTGAGGTTCTGATGACTGCATTCCACCTGTAAGATATGATGATCCAATTCAAGGTCTATCTTTGGGATAATATAAGAAAACATTTTTTGCAAATATCTTAATCTGGTTTGAGGTTAACTGAGTGAAGGGAGTGAAAAGCACAACTCTTTTTCCCGGCACATACACTGCAAGTTTAACTTATGCCCTTTTCCTTTGAAAAAAAAATCTACTTGCAATTTTTTTAAAAAACAAAGTGTTTTCCTAATTATCAAATGGGAATAAAAATATATTTTCCTTAATTTTTCAAAGGGAAATTACACTGTTGTTCTTATATTGGACAAAAGCAAGCACTAACTACTGTTTCATGTCATAAATCTTCATTTTTTACTTTGGTAATTACCTTAACCAAGAACGTTGCCTTGGAATAATATCAAGTCACTAGAGGGGATTCTAATTGACATCTTAAACCATTCCAGATTTTACCACCAGGGTGTGATCATGATCAGGTTACAAGTATACCAGCCACACTACCAGAATACAGTAAATGAGCTATTAAATCATTGCAATATATTTTATGTAATTTATGAGGGCAGATTGTAGGTATCATCATGCTTTTCTGTATGAAATGGCAGAGAAAGCATTTATTATGAGGATGATCTTTTGCAAGTACGTGAGGAAAACATATGTTACTTGTATCACAGAAAATGTATTTATTTGAATTTTATCTTGCCTTTATTATTTTGTTAAGTAATTCAAGGCAGTGATCATATTTAATACTCCTCCCTCCTCCTTTTTCCCATAACAACAACTTGTATGGTAGACTGGGCACCCAGCCAGCCACATGCCTAGAGTCGGACTAAAACTCACAGTCTCCTGCTTTCTAGACCAGCACCTTAATCACTACCCCGAACTGAATGCCAGAACTTTTAGAATCTGAGTAAGCTTTTAAATACTAACATTGTGTTTGCATATTACAAAGGTATAGTATAGCAGTCTGTAATTCTATCTCAAGAAATAGCTTGTTCTGCATTAAAGATGTTTGCTTCAAACTGTAAGGCACTACAAAATTTCTTTTTCTTAATCATTTAAAATAAAAAGAACAAACGAAAAAAGAAAAAAATAAACACCTTCATGACTGAGAGTACAATACTGAGACTTTAGCAGAATAACAGTAAGTCTTGGAGCTTCCTCCCATTTTCCTCAGATACCTTGGACCTTCTTCAATTGAGAATTTCAAGAATATATATAAATACTGTAAAAATCTACCAGTGGTAACATATTTGAATAGAGCATCCAGAAAAATTGTAGTTATATAATCTTTTTTTGGTCAAAACATTTTGTTCATAAACATATCTATTAATCTCGGGACTTTTTCTGTTTCAGTTTCTGGCCAAAATTTCCCCCTTGCAAACAATGAGTTCACTTTACAACTCACTGTTCACTTTACAATTGCAGTGTTTGCTTTGCAACCACGGTATTCGTTTTATGACCATTGTGTTCCCTTAATAACTGTTGCAAAAAAGATTTAAAATTGAGCCAGTTTACGACCATCATGACCTAGAACGGAAATTGTGGCTCAATTACAGTTGTAAATCAAGAACCACCTGTATCTTTATAGCCTGTACAATAGGATGAAAGCAGTTCCATTTTTCTTTCAGCACTGTACCTGAACAAACATGAACAAACACAGCTGGGAAAATGCCTTCCTTTCCATTTAGCCTCCCTCTATACCACTCTGAATCCACTTGTTCTAATATCAAGATACAATCTCCTTTTTTAAATGATAAATCTTCCTGCGTTTCTCCTGTAAAGTCATGAAGAGCATCACACCACTGTCCAGCTTGTCCTTCCAGCTTTGAAAACAAAGAAAAGATAGGAGTGTAAGCTTTAAACTTTCTAGTGATACTGAGAGAAAACACTGTCTATCCAATGAATTCTATACACATCATTTAACAGGCTTAAAACAGATTAATTACTTTAGTGCAATTAATTAACAGATTAGGAAAAGTAATCTTTAATCCTGCAATGACCAAAGAAAGTTGGTGAATTTTTTTGTTTCTTCTAATGTATATATTAGAATAACAGATTGTGTCTGATTGATTACATGCTATAAAATGATAAATACATTACTTGTGTCATTGATCCTGAATGTTTACTCCTCAGCAGGAAACTGCCATCACCTATATAAAAGATTAACACATAAACATTGTTTATTTATTATTTATTACAATAATTTATCGTATAATAATTTATTATTACAATAATAATAAATTATAATTTATTATTGTAATTTTAAAAATACTATTCAGATTTAAATATAGTCTCTTCCAGTAATATTCATAACATAATACATTCAGAGAAAAACAATTCCAAGAATAATTGTTGAAAATCTTAAACAGAATGGCTGGATTCATTTAGTACACTAACCCGTAATGTTGTTTGTTGTTTGTTTTACACTCTGCAGCATGGAAAACCTAGTCACAGTGGTTAATCAACTGTAATTAACTGATTTATAAATTGTGTAGCCGATTTTATCATTAAAGCAGCTTATTGTCTCCAGTGAACCCAGCCAGATGAGGTTTGTTTAACAAAACAGGGTTACGATCTCAGAAGGGGTATGTGTGGGTGGCTGTGTGGGTGGGTGGGTGGGTGTGTGCATCTCAGCTCTAAAAATGGCAGATGATGTTTCTCTGAATAAGTCTAAATTAAATTGGTACAAAATATAAAGCAAACATAATTGTTGCTTCATATAATCTGATTCACCATAAAAAATTCTATTCTATTGTATCCCGCCCTAGCATTGCTTTTAAAAGGAAAAGAAAATCCTGAGTAATATATAGAAAATAGACCATAGGTCTGAGAAATGCATTTCAGCAAAAGTTATCTTAGTGCCAATACATTTTAGGGATGACTTTTCTCAAATTGTCTTCTAAACAAACAGAAGAGGAAGCATGTAATTTCTGACATTCTTTGACCAATTATTTTGGAGCCTGTATAATTTAGGATTGAATGATAAGACAGAATGCACTGAATGGTTCCTTAAGGCAAGCTAACACTAGTACAGTATATCCAGGGGTGGGCTGCTACCGGTTAACCCTGGTTCGGGCGAACACTTAGCTAACCGGTAGCTAATTTTATGGCCGGTTCGGTGCACTGGCAAATCCCATCCCTGGCTGGCCCCACCCACTCCTTCCCTCCTCTCCCAGGAGTCCCCAGGTGGCCCATTTTGGAGGCCAGGTAAGTACAGGGCCCGCACAGAGGCTTGGGGAGGGCGAAAATGGCCCCCTCACCATGGTGCAGGAGGCTGACTAGGTCACGCCCACCATGACCACGCCCACTCAGCAACTGGGAGGGAACCGGTTGCTAAAATTTTTGAACCCCACCCGAGTATATCACACACATGCGTGCAGATAGTCTTCGACTCATGACTACAACAGAGGCCAAACGTTGGGTTGCTAAGCAAGACAGTAGGTGAGTTTTGTCCCATTTAACAACCTTTCTTGTCAGCATTGTTAAGGGAATCACTGCAATAGTTAAATTAGTGACTCTGGCTTCCCCATTAACTTTACTTGTCAGAAGGTTGCAACAGATGATCACATGACCTTGGGACACAGCAACTGTCATAAATATGAACCAGTTACCAAATGGCTGAATTTTGATCATGTGACCCTGGGGATGCTGCAATCGTCATAAGTGTAAAAAACAGTCGTCACTTTTTTCATCGCCATTATAACTTTGAACAGTTATGAAATGAACTGCTGTGAGGATTGCTTGTACAATAGCTATTATAAAATTTTATGGAAGTGCTAAGATTCAGCGCATACTGTATTCTTTGTGTACCCGTAGCATACATATGTTTAAAATTGTGCTTTCATGTTAACACAAGCACAGCATAACCAATAATACAACAACGTGCAAAAATACTGATTTATATAATACATAAAATATCAATGAAGAAGGTTAGAATTTCTAATTTTGGTATGTGTTCTATACCCAAGCATCTAACCGTCTTTATTAATAAGACATTTTGGTCACATTAATTATCTACTGTGAGATGCTGTTTTTTCTTCACCAGTTGATTTAGTTGTTTTACCTGATTCAGGTAGATCTTCAATAACGTCCACAAAATTTAAGGGAAAAATTCCAGAAGTACCTCTCAGCTCTCCTTTGGCCCATTCTTGATTAATATACCCTTTTAAAATAATAACTTCACCTTCAGAGAAACTTAATTCATCTTTCAGGTCTCCAATGTATTCAAATCTAGCTCTGCATCTTGGGCCTCTAAAATAACAAAGAAAGAAAAAAATAGTAAAAGGGAAAATATCATTCTTTCATTTGTTTCACTTATTTTTCTGAGTTAAAACCATTTTATATCATTTAGGTCCATGTTTTTATATTTGTTTGTTAGACCTGTATCACATGTTTATTATTTGAATGATTTCTCTAGTAGAACTTCAAAGAAATATACACTGCAAGTCTTTTTTTGCCACAATATATATATTTCTATCATATATTGTATCTGCATCAGTAGTAGATGTTGTAAAAAGATCTTCATGTATGTGTGTATATGCATATGTGTGTGTATGTGTATGTATGTAACATATACACAAGACACACATATATATATATTCCAAGAATGGTACAGTTCTCATTTATTGATCATTTTTTCAGCAACCATTCAAAGTTATGATGGTGATGAAAACATAACTTTAAGGTCCATTTACAACCTTCGCAGAATTCCTGTCATGCGATTGTCACTGACCTCTGCAGAGCAGAGAAATTAAAAAAGAGTATATTGCAAGAGAATAACATTTATAGTCTATACCCAAATATATTCTTTCCCATATGTTAACACTGCTTTTGAAGAAAAAGAAGAAAACTGGTTTTCTTTATAAAACTAGTTTTCAGAAATCAAAACAGCATAGACAAGAAAATAGCTTTCAATAAATATTTTTCCAATTAGGCAAGCCACCCAAACCATAAATATTTAAAATATTTAAAGTCCTTAAACTAAACAATTCTGTGGCTTTGTTTTGTAATGTACTGTGGTATGCTATTTTATAATTCCCTTTCCAAGAATTTTTCTGTGTTTGAAGTCTTCAAGTCAGGATTTTACTTGCTATGAGTGGTAGCCAGAATACCTTTGTATGAATGGAAAATACATCTGCATGTTAAAGACCGCAAAGTCAACACTTCTATGAAAACTCACATAATATTGGATGGTGAAAGCGGCTCTTTTTTCCAGCTGTTTTTTCCTGGAGTATCAATCTAGGAAGGAGACAACAGGAACATTTAACTATTTTATCTATGTACCTTAATTAGTTTCTTTTGAAAAAACTATTAGGGCTCTATGCTTCCTTCAAAGGTCAGAAAAAGTTTTGAAGTCCAGGAAGGTGCACCATTAGCAAGGAGCTGCAGCTGTTTAAACCAAATCCATCTTTATCCTGGATTGTACTGCTGTTTCAGAAGAAAGACATATAAGCCATTAAGGCTGGCCCAGCCCCACAAATAGGTTGCAATGACCGTTAGAGCACAGCTGACTTCCTTGCAGTCAAGAATTGCATACCTCTGAGTTCCTGAAAACCCAGTCACCGGTTTGGTCTAAGTGCATCATCATAGCAGCATCAGGTGACGTATCACAACTTTCCCCGCCTTCGTTAAACTGGGCATGGGCGTGGCCAGCACTTGACACATCCAGCCTGCAGCCCGCGAGTTTGACAGCCCTGGTTTGTTTGACAGCCCTGTTTTAGTTGTTAAGGCAGCAAACTGGAAATCACGACACTGCCTGTTCTAGTCCCATTTTAGGCATGAAAAAAGACAGGGTAACTTTGGGCCAGTCATTCTCTCTCAGCCCAACCCACCTCACAGGGGTGTTGTGGGAAAAATAGGTGGAGGAAGTATGTTTGCTGCCTTGAGATACAGGTAGTCCTCGACTTACAACAGTTCATTTAGCGACCTTTTGAAGTTACAACAGCACCGAAAAAATTACTTATGATTGTTTTTCACGCTTATGACCATTGTAGCATCCCTCTAAGTCCATGTTTGCGAACCTATGCCACGAGTGCTGGAAGTGGCACGCAGAGCCATTTCCCCCAGCACGCAAAACGTCACCCGGAAAAGCCCCACTGCGCATGTGTGCGCCGCCGCCCAACAACTGACGAAATTTCAGAGAAAAGATGTTTTCAAGACTTCGCTTTAATTAACTCACTATAATGGAAGCTGAAAAATCGTATTACAGTATTGAAAAATTCTCTATTTCTACCAAACTAACACCGCACATATCCTTGTGAAACACATGTTATTCTTGTTTTCTTACTAATATCAGCTCTGTGGGGCTTGACACTTTTGCATTATCATCAGCATCACACAAAATGTAAATCACTGATGTAGTGGTGACATTGTTAGTGCTAATCTGGTATAGCTGGTAGAATATTAATATACTAGCTGAAATTAAGCATAGGTTAAGAAGGTTATTAATAGGTTAATAAGTAAAGGGTATTTTCTCACAATTTCAACTTATTGTGAAAATGAAAACCATAAAGATCAAGACAGTTGCAAATTTAAATAGATTTGCTACATGGTACAAAAAATATATCTGCTTTGTGCACTCAAGCAAGATTTAACCACATGATATGCTCAATAAAATGCACAGGGGAAAAATTAAATTAGAACTCAAATGCAAACCCAGATGAAATGCACTATATTTTACTTGAAATGAGAAATATACTTACAATAATTTTGACAAAGCTAGCAGGAAAAATCCCAGTACGATTCTTGCATTTTCCTCTGTACCACTCATCATCTATTTTTTCCAGAAGAAAAACTGTGTCTCCAGCACTAAGCTCCAAATCATCAATATGCTCTATGGAAAAATAAAAATTAAAACTGTTTCAGTTGATAGCTTATTTACCAAATCAAAAATAAAATCTCACTTAGGCTAAGCTCTATTTCTGGTAGCTACATTACATAAATATAGACCAAAGGAACAGACAGCTAATAGCATTAAAGGTCATTGCTCTGAGTTTTATTAAGGAATACAAAAAGACATTGATGAGATTCTCTGCAGAGAAGAATGCAACCTAAGCAGAAAAACCAAAGGGGGAAAAAAAGAAATTTAAATAATTGAGGACAGAGTCTTCAAGCATATGCTTATATTTCTCTCCTCAGCAATCTTCCCACCAAGGAATATGCCAGAAGCAAAAGGCTTTGAATGTAATGTCAGGACACGGCAACTAGCAAGCTTTAAGATCAGGATGACCAAGGGATTCAAATTCTAGCATGCTACAGAAAGTAAACCAAAGTATATTAAGAATCATTTAAAAAGCAAAACTGTATTTCAATTTACTCTGATGTCACTTCTTACCTGCTGTGAAATTATGTAGCACTGTTGCATGAGGAACACTTGGATCATTAATCTTCTGCATATCAGCGGAATCCTTAAAAATACGAAAGATTTGGAAATTACAAATAACTGATACTCTATCATTTCTCGAGCCACTGAATTCATATTTGGAACATTGACTGCTGAGTTAAAGTACTCTCTTCACTGATTTCAAATGCAAAATCCTCAAATGCTATGGGAAAATCAATTTGGATTTTAATATAGCCAATCCTATTGAATTTTCATATTTTTTAATTCTTCTAGATGCTAACATCATAGCAGTGACAGTAACACCGAATCCCTTTGATAGTTACTGTTTGAAAATGCAACGTTTTTGGAAGATGTTTTGTTTATTCAGTTTCATATGCCACCTCAGTCATCCAAGGGACTCTTATTAAACCTTCGATGGAGTCCAAGATGAGAAAATACTTAACAGACCCTTACTATGCTGCAAAAAATGTATTTGGAATTGGAATATGTATTCCAGGCAAAATTATATGCCTAGAATAGTATTTAATTATCGAAATTTATACCTGCTGTTTGCTTTGCACACTCAGGGGAGTTATTATCTGCATTTGGGATATCTGCATTTGGGAGAAATGAACTTGGCTAGTTTCTTCTCCATTTTTGCACTCTACGTAGTATTCTCAACTTGATGCATCAGAAAAAAGTACATTTCCGTTCCCGACACTTTAGAATGATAAAAAGTTAGATGACTAAACATATTACATAGACAGACAGAGAGATACACACAAACACACACACACACACACACACTTCCATTGATGTAGAAATCAGCATTACCTTACAAGAGAGCTGTCCAGCATTTTGAGATGAAACATCTTCTTTAGCAATTCCATGATGCACAGGAAGCTTGAAACAAATTATTCACATTTCAGTCCAAAACAACTTTTGATGATCTAATGTACATTTTAATGTATATTTTTTATTTGTCATGAAAAGGTATCCAAGTATTGCATGTCATTTTCTTTTCTGGGATTAATTTTGGGGATCCAAATGATCTATGGCACAGTTGCCCTATTAATCCTACTAGTTTCATTCCAGTTCTTTGTTCACAAAATGAGAAATCCCTGGTTAGAATTTTGCACAAGGTTCTGTATTCCTTTTTGTTTTTAGCTTGTGCATAATTGGTGATGGAAAATACTCCACTTTGACATAATTACGTCATTTGTTACTTGATATGTTTCAAAACTTGATACTTGCCCATACAGCTACGTTGTTAGTTATGATTTAAATTAAGTTTTGTTCAACTCCTAAAAGACATAGACTGGTTCACATTAGGAAAGGGTAAACAATTTGCTGCAAGGGCCATATTGGTTTTTGTTCCTTTCCTGGGTTGTTGAAAAGCCACATTGGTATGTCATGACAAATGGTACTTATTCCTTAATGGTACTACATCTACATGGAGGGAAGTAAGCTGTGGTACCACAAGGTTCCATCTTAGGCCTAGTACTCTTCAATATCTTTATAAATGACTTAGATGAGGGAATAGAAGTGGAACTAATCAAATTTGCAGATGACACTAGGGTGGCAGGAATAGGAAACACCTCAGAAGACAAGCTCAGGACACAGAAGGATCTTGACAGACTTGAACAATGGGACCTAGCCAACAAATAAATTTTAATGTGGAAAAAAGCAGTTTTACATTTAGACAGAAAAAAACCAAAGGTGTAAGTAAAGATTAGGCAAAACCTCACTCAAAAACAGTAACCATGACAGGGACCTTGGAGTCCTAATATCCTATGAGCCAGCAATGTGCGACAGCAGCTAAAAAAGCTAACACAATCTTTTGTAATATAAACATAGGCATAGAATCAAAATCATGTGAAGTATTTAGTACCACTTTATAAAACCTTAGTAAGACCACACCTGGAATACTGCATCCAGTTTTGGTCACCTTACTACAAAAAGGATATTGAGACTTTCAAAAAAGTGCAGACAAGAGCAACTAAGATGACTAAAGGCCTGGAGACTAAGACGTGAAGAATGGTTGCAAGATTTGGATTTGGCTAGTATAGAGAAAAGAAAGACTTGGGTTCACATGATAGCAGCATTCCAGTATTTGAGGGGCTGCCACAAAGAACTTATTTTCAAAAGCACCAGAGGGTAAGACAAGAAACAATGAATGGAAACTAATCAAGAAGAGAAGCAACTTGGAATTAAGGAGAAACTTCTTAACAATGAAAACCATTAACCAGTGGAACAGCTTGCCTCCCAAAAACATGGGTACTTCATCATGAAGGTTTTTAAGAAGAGATTGGATAACCATTTGTCTGAAATGGTATCAGGTTTTCTGCCTAAGCAGGGGCTGGACTAGAAGATCTCCAAGGTCCCTTCCAACTCTTCTATTCTCTTCTATTTCTATTCCTATTCTATTCTGCTATTCCACTAAAATGATATTAAATGTTATATCCCAAAAGGGAGAAAAATGATGGAACCCTATAAAACTCCAGTGTCACCAGAAAGTACATCTGGAAATATGAAACATTTTATTTGATGAACATTCACACAATTAAAATCGATCTGCTTACTCTTTTAATAAGAGATGACATATACAAAGTCACATCTCCCCTCTAGTGAAATTAATCTTCTCACCATGTATTTATTGTATAGAGGATGACCAGGCTTGGGTCGAGGTGGTAAATCTGAGCCCTGTTTTTTAAAATCATCGCTCTTTGTTTTTTTGATTCCCAATCCAAGCATGCTAGGTTTCTTATGGAGTGCCACATCAGATGACGAGTGTGGCAATCTATCAGTATCTGAGGAGATTTTGTTGGATTTTGGTGGTGGTGGTCTTCCTGGGGCACCTTTAGGTGGAGCGGGCCGAGATGGTATGATTTTCCCCTGAACGGGTCTAGAAATTATAAAGAAACCATAGTATTAGAAAACACACTCTATTCCAATGATATTACAAATACACTCTATTAAAAGCTATTGCTAGGTTAATATTGTGCCATCAAGTTATTTTTGATTCCTGGGGACCATGAACATAATATTATCTCCACAATGATCTAGCCCTAATTTTCTCTCATCTGCCTGTTCCCTAGGCATGCAGCATCACTTCTCTCCTCATCTCCCAAAGACATTTACACATACCATTACAATTATGGATATATTAGAAGTAATACTAATTCCCATTAACTAATTTTTTTAAAAAAATCTGATCCCTTTAAAGAAGACTCTCTTTAGATTCAGAGGATCAGTCATTGGCTTCTTATTAAACCATATTCTTACTCATAATACACAATATACAATTTAACAGTCTCTCTTCTGTAAAAATGAAATTCAAATGCCAAACGTATACATTTCAGCAAAATTATATTAGCGATCTGCAAATAAAATGAGAATGGTATCTTGCATGGAAACTGTTGGGTAAAACAGCTCTTCATATAGTTAGAGGTGTCAAACTTGCAGCCTGTGAACCAGATGCGTCACATGCTGGCCACCGCCACCCCCAGTTTAGCGAAGGGGGGAAAAGTCACAATACATCATGAGACGACGATGTAACAACACAATTTTGACACCCCTGAGCTAGACAATTTCAATCAAGGAAAAAACAATGCAAATTGCATTGGCTTCACTAAAACACTTCATTGTTGGATTCCTCTGTTAAACAGCTGGCACTTTGTTTTGTTTTTCTAATTCATACATTACTTTACCTTGTGCAATCTGTTAAGAAGATTAAAATTAAAACTGGAGATCTGCTTTGGGTTATTCAACAAATACTGATTTACTACTGTATACTCTCCTGTAACTTCATAATATACTATTCTGCTAAACAAAGTGTGTCAAACTTGATTTCATTGAGGGCCGCATCAGGGTTGTGTTTGCTCTCAGGGGCCTGGGGTGGGTGTGGCCAGCTCAATGTCACTCGTGTTGGGAGCACCTGTGGTGGCCTGAGCGCTCTGCAAGTGAAAATGGGCTGGCAGAGGCATTGAGGGCCAGTCCTTCACTGTTTCCAGGGTGGCACCATGGGCCAGATCTGGATCCATGGGCTGGATCCAGGCTGCGGGCCTTGAGCTTGACACCCCTGTGCTAAATATTAAGAATGGGTCAGACTGTGAATATAATTGTTTATATCTTCTAAAGCGAAAATACAGAATAATTAATGTAACCTATAGTCCGTATGTATTTTTAAAATTGTAGAATATTTTACATTTTTCTATATAACGTAACAAATTAAAACTATACAACTAATGTTAGTATTATAACGGTAGTAGAATATGTACTTCACAACACCCAATCCCTTTGCTGCTTCTTTGATACTCACCTTGGAGGCAGGACAGGCTCATTCTTGATTGGCTGTACCAAGCTCGGCTGTTCAGGTTCCTATTGGGTCATTAATGTTATTGTTATTTGGGCAAAAAAAATTGGAATTGTTATGATTATTTCAAAGTAAAATATCAGATAAGGAAAGAACTGGTAGTTGCCTGGACAAGTCTATAAAAAATTTCTTGGCAACATTTTTGGCCAAATGCCTTCTTCCTAAGATTAAGAAAGAAAGACCCAGCTGACTTCATGATTAAGGTAGAGTAGAACTCAGTTTCCTGGTTTCTAATCTGGTGCTTTTAACCCTTACAACACACTTTCTGTTGCGTATATACAGGTAGCATATAGGGTGCACAAGGAGGTGCAAATATAGCAAGATTCAGGGAGGTGCATGAGGGTGTGTAAGTGGCAGGGGAGGGATAACTCAAGCAATATGCAAGGGAATGTGGGTGGCAGGGAAGCTTCAATGCAAGTGCAGCAGGGTTATGGTGGCTGCTGACCTTGTTAAAAATGGTTGAACTTTTTATTTCAGTACATGATTTTAATGGTCTTTTATATAAATGATTCAACAACACATAGTACAAATGAAAGCAGAACTATATACTATCTAGAAAAATTGGTTGGAATGAGGCAAGGCAAGTGCAGGAACCAAAGCAGGAACTGGATAGGTCTGAATGCAAGGAATCTAAGGAATCTGAATTTATTTATTTGAAGTTTGTAGCAATTTTCTCACCATTTTGTACCATTTTGGGGAGGGGGAAAGTACATAATTGGTGAAATATGCACATTAAGCATTGTAACACTTAAATATTATAAGTAATTCAGTTTAATATTGTGGCTTCATTTTTTTTAAAGGGAAGGAACAAAGGAAGGGAAAGGAAAGGCATTACCTTGTTAATTATATTGATATTATTGAGTTTTCCAGCTGCAATACCAGATGTGCTTCCAATTGGTTTCTCTGTAGGTAGTGGAGGAGGGCTTTCCAGAATATCATTTAAAGCTGCAAAAATATTTATAATTTTCCAATGTTAACTACCAAAATTCAGATTTTGATTATTAAAGAAATATTATTAAAGTTATTCTACAAATATATTCAATGGAAAAATATAACAGGTCTCACTGATAGCGGAATTGCGCTACAGGCAGTCCTTGAGTTACGGTGGCAATTGGGACTGGGATTGCCATCACTAAGCAATCACAACATCACCTGATTGCATTGCTTAGTTCTGGTTGTGTTGCAAGTCCAGAGAGGCCCAACGAGGAGGACATAAAGTCCAGGGAGGCACAGGAAGGCATAGGAAGGAATGACTAAGTGCAGGTTTGCAACAAAAAGGGGAAGGAGGGCATGGTGCATGCAAATAAGTGAGGCAGGGAGGAGGGTGCATTGCATGCAAGCAAGCAAAGGGGGAAGAAAGGTACGATGCATGTGAGCAAAGAAAGTCTGAGGAGTGGAATGAGGGAGACAAAGTCATGACTAAATGGCTTGACTTTGCTTGGAGGAAGCTGGCAAAGTTGCAAATGGCAACCATTTGACTGCGAGATGCTGCAACCAGTTTTAGGTGTGAGCTGGTTGCCAAGTGCCCACATTTTGTTTATATGACTACAGGAGCATTGCAACAACTATAACTTTTAAGAGCTGTTCATATGTCTCCTTATTCAGTGACCTTTTAACTCAGGGGTCCCCAACCCCCGTTCTGTGGACCGGCACCGGGTCATGTCATGCCAGAAACTGGGCTACGCAAACAAGCAAAGCCCCATCTGCGGGATGTAGGCAGCACACAAAACCACCACCCTTCCGATCGATAGAAAAAGCTTTCTCCACGGAACCAGTCCCTGGTGCCCCAAAAGGTTGTAACTTCAAACAGTTATTGTACAAATTGTTGTATGTTGAGGAGTACATCTTGGTTAAGTATAAATTGGGAAATTCAAAATGTATGGACTCCAGCTTCCAGAATTTCCAGCCAGAGATGGTCCATACATCTTAAAGTTGCCAAGTTTGAAAAACACTGATTCAAGAAAAGAATTTGATTGTTTTTAAGAGTACATGATTGAGAAATGCAGATCACCAAAAGGTATCACCAAATGAAATTAGTAACACTATATGTAATTAGATTTGTAATATATAATTAGATGAAACTCTGTATATGTTTAAAGTAACAACTGTGAATGAATATTTTACACAATTTGAGAGATGTCAGATTGAATGAACACTGTTTTGCTTAAGTTGCGATAAGCAGAAAGTTTGATTTTACTGTATTTGTATAAATTTGTTTAATAAACTATTTTTATAATAAAAAAAATTTAAAAAGAGAGAAATGCAGATCACTACAGTTACCCATGCTGGAAACCTGTCAAATAAATTTGGAATAGGCTGCTTGCCTGCAAAATTTAACTCATTTTAAAACTTAACAAGGCTTTTTTGTTTTTGTTTTTTCTCTACTCAATCATCTCTTTCCCTTGCCTTAATTCTAGCCAGGTTTCTTTCTTTCTTTCTTTCTTTCTTTCTTTCTTTCTTTCTTTCTTT